CACCGAGTCCCAGCCCCAGCCCCAGCCCCAGCCCCAGCCCCTGGGCTGCACTTTCAAAGAGCAGTTTTAAGTTTGCAGAGGAAGGAGCAGAAAGCCAGGAGACTCACGTGCACTCCGCCGCGTCCCCGGCCTTCCTTGGTGGGTTAAGTTATGTGACGTGAAATCCGCCACCTGGAGCGGCCTGCGCGTCAGTGTTGGGCTCTCCATGGTGCTGGGCCGTCACCCTCACCTCTGTGCCGCTCCTGGCCGTGGCCCTCTCTGGTGGCTCTGGGGTCTGCCCTTCCCTCCCGTGGCTCACACAAGTGCCAGGCCCCTGGCCAGCCCTCCCTCCATGATGGCGCCCTTGTTCCCGTGGGCCTGGGAGGCGCCAGGGCTGCCTCATGGCGCTGACCTCCCTGCCATCCAGGCTCCATGCCAGCGGCCCCTCCTCCCTGGGCTCCCCCACCCCCGGGTCTTCCTTCTGCATGCGGAGCTGCCCGTGACACCCCGGGAACTTCTCGGTCAGAATCAAGAGACCATGTGCAGGGAGAGCTGCTGGGGCCTGCAGGCTCGTGCCCCAGTGCAGGCTTGGGGTGGAGGCCTGTGGGGGTGGGCTGGCTGGGCCCCCCAGCCTCCCGGACGGCCTGTGTCCTCGAGCCCGTCTCCTGCAGCCTCCCCTTCTTCCTCACCCAAAGCTGTGTCGGGGACAGTCCAGGCCTGCGAGGGCCCCTCAGCAGGGGGCAGCTGGGCTCTGGGCCAGGCAGCCTGACTTGGGCTCCAGGCGGGCCACTCAGCCGGAGCACGAGAGCCACGGTTCCCAACAGGGGCTCCTGGCCGGGCGGGGGCCGGAGTCTCCAGAGAGCCGGGCGCTGCTCTCTGCCGCTGCGGCCCTCACTGTGAGGAAGGTACACCTGACTCTGCTGGTGACCTGCTCCTAGGGACAGGTGTTCCTGCCAGACCCTGGTAATAAGACCAGCAGGATCTGCAGGGCCCCGGGAGGTGGGCACCACAGACTGGGGGTGGGGACTGGGGCCATGAGAGGGCTGTGCCCCCCGCAGGAAGGCCACTCCTTCATCCTGCAGAGCCTGTGCCCCAGAGGCAGTGCCCACTGGCCCTGAGACCCACAGGCACTCGGCCCCTGTGCTGGGGAGGCTTCTGCCACCCTGGAGCCACCTAGCACCCCACTCTTTCACCGGGTGGGCCAACAGCAGGTGTCAGTAGAGAGCCGGAACCAGAGGGTGGCTGACGTGTCATTGTTTGTGCAGTTGGAGAACTGAGTGCACAGGGTGCCGCGCCTGTGTGTGGTGTGTGGACCGTGCATGTGTGTGTGTGTAGACTGTGCATGTGTGTGTGTGTGTGTAGACCGTGCATGTGTGTGTTGTGTGTGTATGGACCGTGCATGTGTGTGGTGTGTGTGTGTGTGTATGTGTAGACTGTGCATGTATGTGGTGTGTGTGTATGGACCATGCATGTGTGTGTGTGTGTGTGTGTGGACTGTGTGTGCGTGTGGTGTGTGTGTGTGGTGTACACGTGTGTGGACCGTGCGTGTGTGTGGTGTGCACGTGTGTGCCGCATGCCGGGTGTGGGGCCTGTGTGCAGTGTGAGGCCCTGCGTGGGCTGTGGGCTGGGGCAGCCTCCCTCCTGAGCTCGCTGGCTCCGCGTGGCTGGCTGAGACTGGCCTGGTGGCCGCCGTTCGCCGGGCCCTTTTCCTCCCTGTCTTCCGACAGCGTGGGGTGAACTCATTTGTACTCCCAGCTGAGACCCTGATGGACCTCCACATGTGGCCCCCACTGCCGTGGAGTGGCAGTCCCCCACCCCCAGCAAGGAGCCAGCCCAGTGCTTGGCCGACTGTCCCCAGGGCGCTCCTTGGCACAGGAGGTGTGAGCGTGGTCTGGGGGGAGGGACGCTCACTGTGGGGTGAGGGAGGGTGGCCAGGGAGCAGGGAGGGTGAGCAGGCCTGGGTGGAGACGAGGAGCCCTGGTGCCAGGGCCCTGGGTAGACAGGCCTTGCGGCCCCGATGGCAGGAGCGTGTCATTGCGCAGCAGGAACACAGCAGGGTCGACCCCAGGAGGTTACCAGGTTGCCCCTGTCAGGGGGGGTGTTTAGACAGCATGGGGGAGGCTCAGTCCTGGGCCCTTGGGAGGAAGCTGTGGCACGGGGGCCTGGAACTGCTGGGCGCTGGCTGGTGGGGTCTGCAGGGCCCATCCACGGGGCCGATTGCAGCGCATGGTGTAGGCTACCTGCTCAGCAACGTGGAGGGGCTGCCGTAGGATTGCTGGAGGGGTCCTGGGGGTTTCTGCAAGTGGGGTAGGGGTGGGGAGGAAGGTGGCTGGACCCCAGCGCTGCGCCCCGCCTGGGAACCCTGCCGTGGGGGCGGTTGCTCTCATCGGAGCGTGACAGGTCAGAGCCATGGAGCACGGGTGCAGCGTGGCAGAGACTGAGGGTGCAGACCAACAGGTGGGTAAACCGTCAGGTCTCTGGTCTCAGCCCAGGGCCCTCTTTTAAAGATGTCCATAAGGGTCTATATAACCGACACCCAGGCTCTGTTGAGCTGTCACATTTACCTGTTTTCATCAGACAGATAACCCGCGTAGACAATAAAAACAATATAGACACTTTCTAGGCATTTTCAGGTAAGTGCATACTTTGAATTAGGAAGTTTGAAATATTAAAGGTAGTTCATTGAAAATGGAAACCATTAGAAAAGCAGATAAAATATAGACCAATGTTTAATGGATCTTTGGCTTGGGAATGACTATATATTGTATAGAAGTGATAAAAGTAATCACTAAAGAAAAGTTACCGTCAATTTGCAGAAAAATTGAGAACTTTTGTTCTTCAAAGTGGATAATACAATTAAAAGGAAACCATCAAGTTAGGAAACACACATATGCAGCAACTATGGCAGAGGATTATGGTCTTTCCTATATAAAGAGTTCCTACACAGCAATAAAAATTCCAGTATCCCAGGAGAAAAATTGGCAAAGCACACCAGTAGACAGTTTACACGATGAACGCAAATGTCTAATAAATATGGGATAATATGCTCAAATTAACAAACAGATAACTGTTTTTCAGTTCTCAAATTGGCAAAGATTTAAATTCCTGGTAATCCTGATACCTGTTTGGAAATCTGTTGGTGACTATGTGTCAGGGCTCCAGTTTATCCTCCTGGGGAATTGGTCAGGAATTCCAGAAATTATCCTTTGGAAATAGTGAAGTTGCAGATGAAGATTTGCTGATGAAAATGTAGCTTTTTATTTAAATGGCAATTCTTTGGAATCCAAATGTCAATTGTGATTGCTCAGGAGTGGTATGTTGGTGTGATGCACAAAGCTGTTAAGGGGCAGGATTAGCCTTTTGAGGTTTTTTTCTTTTTTCTTTTTCTTTTTTTTTTTCGTACTGAGGATTGAACTCAGAGGCACTCAACCACTGAGCGACATCCCAGCCATTTTTTGTATTTTATTTAGAGACGGGGTCTCACTGAGTTGCTCAGTGCCTTGCTAAGTTGCTGAGGCTGGCTTTGAACTCGAGATCCTCCTGCCTCAGCCTCCTGAGCCACTGGGATCACAGGCGTGTGCTATTGTGTCTGCCGTCTGAGTTTTAATGTTAATAATGAGATCTTAGTTTCCTAGGGCTGCCGTAGCAAGGTAACCCAGGCCTGTTCTCCTAGTCCCAGAAGCCAGAAGTCAAGGTCAAGGCCGTTGTCACCTTCCCAGGGCTGTGGGGAACCTTCCTTTTCCAGGCCTCCCCGTGGCTTACAGACGCTGTCCTCACAGTCCCGGGGCCTTCTCCGCCTCCTCGTTCTCCCCCGTGGGTCTTAGAATGTCACTGTGCAAGGTTGCCAGGTGCAGTGGTTTAGGGTCACCACAGTGACCTTGTTTTAACCTGTCACCTCTGCAGTGCTCTCTCTGTAAGGTCACTTCTGAGGTCCTGGGGGCTAGCACTTCTAGAGTGAATTTTAGGAATTGCATTTTAACCCATGACACCTGGAAGCATGTATTTGTCAGAAAGCAAGAACTGATGTGATTCAGAGCGGGGTTTTAATTTATTATGCGTTATTTTTAGACAGGCCCAGGTCATAGCAGACGATGCACCTGTGTTTCTGGCTCAGGTGATTTAAGGGACATGTGCTATTTGTACCTCTGAGTGTGTTTCATGCTCTTTTTTCAGTGCTGGGGACCCCAGGGCCTTGCCCGTGCGGGGCGAGCACTCTACCTCTGAGCTATGCCTCAAACCCCAAAAAGGTCTTTAAAGTTTAAAGTTCTCGTGTTTTCCTCTCCTTGTTTGCTGGCAAGCAGGGGTTGAGAAGCGGCTTTATCTAAGTGAAAGAGCATGTACGTTTAGAAATAGGTAAGAATTGTCTTACAAGGATGAACGTTCCTGGCTAATGCTCAACAGACCATCCTGGTTTGTCCACAAGCGCCAGCGCTGTTCCGGAACCATCTGGGAGGGTGTCCTTGCACCAGGTGTCCGGGAGGGGTGAGGATGGAGGGCTCCGAGTGGGTTTCCGCACTGAGCAGCTGCAGGAGTGGGAGCCTGCGGCCTGCACTGAACCTGGCTTGGGAGACGCCTTCCAGCACCTTCTTCTGATTATCCTCCCTGGGGCAGCTCGTCCTCACTTGAGCGCGGGTTTGATTTGGGGAAGCAGCTGAATGAGAGCAGTTTGCCACCGCAGGGCAGAGGACCCCAGGGGCTGCACCCCGCCTCAGCGGGGCGTGTCACCAGAAAAGTCACTACTATCTACGCAGCTTGTGTTCTGTGTCTACTGGGCGTGGCCGGCCTGAGAAAGGGGACCTGCCTGAGAAAGGGGACCCTTTTTTTTTTATTGGTTGTTCAAAGCATCACAAAGCTCACGACGTATCATCTTTCATGCATTTGACTTGTACTTGGGCTAAAGGGGACCCTTTTGTCGGTGGCTTTTGAGACCCTGGAATTCTTTTTTCCTCCCCTTTTTGTAGGTGCGCCGTGTGTTCCTGTCACGTGCTGTGACACGCACACAGTGTGATGACGTCCTTCCCTCGCGCCTCCCTCCCTCCCTCCCAGCCCTGTCCTCCACTCACTGACCCTGATTTCATGAGTCCGCCGCCGTCTCCCTTTTCCTTTCCCTCCCTGACTTCCGCGGAGGGGAGAAGACCCAAGGCCTGACTGAACTTGGCTTATGTGGGTGACCATGACGTTCTCGAGCCCCCTCCATTCTCCTTCAGATGACGGAGGAACTTCCTTCTTCTTTATGGCCGACTGAGCTCCACCGGGAGGGTGCGCGGTGCTGGACCCATGGATCCGAGTCAGACCGCTGGGGATTGTGCGGCTGCCACGTGGGTGTGCGGACTTTGTCCCCAGGGCGAACACCCAGGATGGGACAGGGGGCCCTGAGCTGGCTGCGGGCCAACTGAGCTTGTGACTCTGAGGGACTCCTGAACTCTGAGGCTACTCTGGGCAGCAGAGGCCCTGTTAGAACGAGAGCGTCCTCAGACGGTGACTGGGAAATAGGACGCGGTTTCTAGTGTGAGTTTTTAAAAAGGTCCGTGAGTTGGTCGCCGTTGGTCAGAGTGTGCGATGACGTGTTTAGACACCGAGGACCCGATGGGGTGAGGGAGGTCCCTCGGCCAGGAGTGGCCGGAGGGCTTCCTGGAGACCGGCTGGGTCATCAGAACTCTGGGCCTGAGGGTTTGTAATGGTCCTGTCACCGGCACACCTCAGATTTATCGTCCGGGGCCACTCTGCAGGGCGGAGTCGGTGGTCAGGCAGAGACCCCTGGTCTGGCCGGCTGGAAGGCTTTCCCCCGGCCCTTTGCAGAGCGCGTTTGCTGGCCCCTCTGCTGAGGGAGGACTTGGTTCTGCTGGCCACACTGGGGTAGGGAGAGGGCTGGGAAGGGCTGGGCCAGGGGAACCAAGCGGATGGGAACCCTAGACGGATCGCCATCCCAGATCTGAGAGGAGATGTCCGTGGCTCAGGGCTGGGAGGTGAGGTCCTGGGCTGGGTCCTGACCCCCAGGACTGGTGACGTTCAAAGGTGACGCTGGTGTTGGGAACTCTGGCAACGGTGAAGCCAAAGTGGTGGACCTTTTGGTGGGTGCAGGATGGGGAGGGCAGCCCAGGGCCGCTGGAGATTGCTGGAAGAGTGTGTTTGAGGAGTCAGTGGCCGGGCAGGCGCCTGGAGACTGGAAATATGTGAACGGGACCCGGGGAGGCCGGAGGTCCCGGGAGGTGGCTCTGTCCACTGTGCCTGCCCAGCCTCCCACGGGGCCTCCTGCTGAGCCAGGGGAACCCTGCCCCCACCCTCGCCCCAGCGTGTATCCAGTTGCTGGAGGTGAAGACTTGGTTTAGGGAACGGCCTCAGGCAGCTCCAGAGTTTGGGAGAAATGTGGAAGATGCAGAGCTCCCATCCATCATAATGTCTAAACTTATTCTTATTATGCCAGCTACACGTGAGAGTGCCGTTCCAGCTGTGCCCAAGCACCTTCTCTGAGCTCATTCACCTGAACCATCACGGCCGTCTCCAGAACTTCCCTGCCCTCCCCAAACTGAAGCTTCATGCCCGCCAAACACCCTGCCGCTTCCGCCCCTCGCAGCCCTCGGCCACCCTGCTGGGCTTTCTGTGTCTGCGATGACGTGGGGACCTCCTGTGAGTGGGATCCCAGCAGTCGCCTCTGTCTGGCCTTTGGCCGTGTGCCACATGTCGTGAATGACGGACCACCGTATGTGGGGGTCCATGCGATCCTGTTGCCCGTAAGGTGTGGCTGGCCCGGCTGTGTGCACTCCACCATGTTCAGACAAGGGCGGAATTGCCCGATGGCACACTTTCCAGAATGTGTCCCAGTGGTTAAGTGACCCGTGGGCTCTTCCACTCAGCACCGCGTCCTCGAGTTCGTCTGTCCTGTGGCAAGTGCCAAAACTTCCTTCCTTTTCAAGGCTGAATGACGTTCCGTTGCACCACATCTGCTCATCTGCTCCCAGCTGGTAGTCTTATCATATTGCATCCGGTCTTTTCTTTGAGAGAGGAGGTTGAAGCCCCTCTGGGTCGTTCCCACCCCCGCCGCTCCCCCTGTGCGCTCCCCTGAAGCTGGTTGCACCTGCCACCTGAGCCGTCAGTGCTGGACACCCACAGCCCATGGCCATCATGCAGCACAGCTGCTCCCTGCCCTTCTGCGCAGCGGCGTGCCTGTAGTCCTCTGTGCTGGGCTTGGCGTGCACGCCTGGGCACCATCGTGGGAACCTCTGGTTGGTTCTCGTAGCTGCTGTCGGACTTGGGCTGGTCCTGCAGACGCAGCGTCCTCGCGGGCATCTCCTAGTGCCAGGTGTGAGGGTTGCTTCACGGAAACTCGCCACACGTCTGTTCTTGGCTCACATCACGTAGGCCAGCTTCTCAGCTGTTGGTCTCGCTACACTCCCCGAAAATCCCTTGGTGGGCTGAGGATATCCGAAGTGGAGATGCACAAATTCCCGGGGCCCGAAGAATGTCCTGATGCAGCTACGTGGCCTGCGACTGTGAGCTGCGGCTGCCGTTGCCAGTGTCACAAGAGTGTTGTTTGTGCCGGACATCCCTTGCCTGGGAGAGACCCAAATGCGAAATTTGAAGAACCGTTTCTGTTGGAAGCATCATCAGCTTTTCAACAGGATAAAGTCGAACTGTGGTGAGCCGGGCCTGTGCGCTTATGCCCCAGGTTGCCAAAGCCACAGGGGCGTCCGGAGAGCAGACACTCCCTGCCCAGCGCCTGGCCTCCCTGTGCTGTGGACAGGGCATTTTCTTTCTCTCTTGTGCTGGCCAAGGCCCACTGAATGGACTTCAGGGTCCCCTACGCATACGGCTGGACACACTTTGGAAACCATCAGGTCACTTCCTGGAGGTCTCGGCAGAGCCAGATCTGCAGCCCAGATGGCCGCCTGGGTTGGTGCAGGCCAGAGCCCGTGCCAGCACCTCCTGCCCACACCCTCCCTGACTGGGGTGTCCCCTGGCTGTCCTTGCCTTCCACCAGGCTGTTGGGTGCTGGGTTTTGTCTGAAATCTGTTTCCATGTGTGCCGGCTCTCTGGTTTTCCCCTGTGACTCGCCCATTTTCTCTATTTCTGCTCTTTCATGAGGACTTTGGAGTTCTTTATATCTTCCTTCCTTCCTTCCTTCCTAGAGGATTGAACTCAGGGGCGCTCCACCACTGAGCCTCATCCCAGCCCTGTTTTGTACTTTGTTTAGAGACGGGGTCTCCCTGAGTTGCCTAGCACCTGGCCTTCGCTGAGGCTGGCTTTGGACTTGGGATCCTGCTTGGCCTCCCGAGCGCCCGACCTGCTGTTCTTTGTATTTTCTAGAGAGTGGTCTTCTTGTTTCTAGTTTACTTTTTAATAAATGAATTGTATGAAAACTCTGTTCCTTCAATATTTGTGAGGCCCCGTGCAGGAGGATGCCAGGGAACACTTGAGGTGGGGGTGGGGGCTCTGGGAGGGTGGGCTGGAGTTGGGGTGCAAAGTAGGGAAGGGGAATCGGTGCTGACCCGGGCAAGCAGGAATCCTCGGTCTTGGTGAGGTCACTGCTTGGGGTCAGAATTCCTTCAGCCCAGTGGTTCCCTGTGGGGGCGATTTGACTCCCCATTCCTGGGGACAGTTGCCAGTGTCTGGAGACGCTTTTGGTGGTTGTCCTGGGAAGGTCCAGGGATGCTGCTCGGCACCTGCAATACACAGGATGGCCCTCAGGACAAAGGATGACCCCTCTGAGGGGGAGACCCCAGCCTCCTTGTGCATCGTCTGGTGGCAGCAGACCCCCTCCCATGATCAGCCAGCATCGTGGGAGCCTGTGGCATGAGTGAGGCAGGATGCAGCCCCAGCCCAGGGACGCCCACTGTGTCCACAGCCTTGACCGCCAGCACCTCCTCTCTTCCTCCCCAGGCAGGTCTTGGCGAGCCCCACCTGGGCCACAGCTCTCGGAGGATGGAAACACGTGCCCAGCGATGTCTCTGGGCCGCCTCCTTCGCCGGGCCTCCTCCAAAGCCTCGGACCTCCTGACCCTCACCCCTGGTGGCAGTGGTGGGTCCCCCTCGGTCCTGGATGGAGAGATCATCTACTCCAAGAACAATGTCTGTGTGCACCCCCCCGAGGGCCTGCAGGGGCTGGGGGAGCATCACCCAGGTGAGCCGGTGGGGGAGCCTGGGGCCAGGGGTGGAGACCCTGGGGAGCCATGGGTGCTCGGGCTCTGCCTGGGCTCCCCCAAAAGGGGACCAGAGACCACTGGCTCTGTGGGTGGAGGCAAGACCCTCTGGGTTGGAACTCCAGGTGACCTGCCAACATTCTTGGGCATTCTCATGGTCCCTGGGGCGGGAAACTCTTTCCTGTGGTGACAGGGACTTTGTCATCTTTTGCAGAGCCACAGAGAAAGAGAACTGTTTGGTTTCTTGTTCTGCAGGGCAGGGCTAGGTTCTGAGCCAGGGCCCTGAAGGGCCGAGGGCCACAGCTCATGAGAAAGGACGAGAGTGTCCGTTGCCTTCCCCAGCATGGGTAGCCACCTCCCGAAGGGAGTCTGGGGGCATTAGGTCCAGCTCTTGGGCAGGCCAGGGGAGTCCTGCAGCCTGCAGCCCCTGGGAAGGAACAGAGTATGTGCAGTGACAGTGGAGGCCTCGTGGTCCTTTGCCGTTCATGCAGGTGACTCGCAACAAGGGAGTGTGAGGCCATTTCTCTGTTGCTTTACGATCTGCACAATGGCCTCACTCGAGTGGCTCCAGCCACCGGAGAGTGGGCCTCCAGTGGAGGCCACCACAGGTGCTCAGGGCAGGAGTTCCCCATGGAGCCGGGCTGCTCTGTGCCACTCGGTGCCGTGTTGAACTGGGCCCTCTCGGGCTCCCCAGGCTGCCGAGAGCAGGCCCTAGGCCCTGGCATCCTGCGGCCATGCGGGGGGGTGGTCCTTTCTTCCCCAGGGGCCCCCTGGCATTTTCAGGGCCTGGGGTAAAGGTGCAGACCGAGATCCCAGACGGTGGGATCCGAGCACATCCACCCTGGGTGGATACACAGTTGTTAAAGGGTTGCTAGTGAAGCGAGGGTGCCCCTGCCTGGCCCTGTGCGTGGTGCCGTGGCAGTGTGAGTGGAACTGTGGCTTCTCCAGCCCACACCCCCTGCTCTTCCAACCCTGCTTCCCGGGGCGCCGGCACCACTGTGTGGGCCAGGACTTCACGGTCTTGGGCTCCTGGAGGATGATCCAGAGGGTGTAGCACAGCCCCTGGCCAGAGCCTGGCCCCCCGGGGAGGGTGGGCATGGGGGTTCCAGGTCTGTCCTGCTCTGGGCCTCTTCAGAGCTGCAGTGCCCTGTGGTACTCCTATCATGACGCTGTGGGGAGAGGTCAGGGATGGGCAGAGGACTTCAGGCCCTCACTCGATCCTGGAGCAGAGGTGTATGGTCAGGGGGTGCAGAAATACCCAGCCTCACCCTCATGTGACCCTGGGTGTACCTAGCTGAAGTCCCCAGGTGCCCCGCCTCTCCTGGATATGGGAGTGGGGCCAAGGGATCATGGCTGACGGCAGAGCCGCAGAGTGTGCTCCGGGCGCCGCTCCTGCCAGGGGCCTTTTCGGCACAGAGGCCAGAGGCCTGGGCCAGGTGCCCTGTGCCTAGGAACTGGGATACCCGGAGCAGCTTGGTGCTGCATCAGGAGGTGCCACCTGCCCCCAGCCAAGCTCCTGGACACTCAGCGTGGCCTTGGGGAAGCTGCTCTTCCCTCCCTGGGGTCACAGGCCCCTCTTCCAACTACTACGTTTAAAAAAAGAAACAGTAGACCACGGTGGTGGGACGCGGCTGGGCAGCGCCCAGCTTGGGTTTATTCTTGTTGTGAAGTGGAAGTCGAGTCTCCTGCCCTCGTCCCTCCCCAGAGTGCCGTACAGCCGGGACACGGGACCCCCGAGGCCACTGGGCTTCTCCTGGCCTGCCTGGGCCTGCCTACAGGAGGAGGCCGAGGCCCGACAGGCCCAGGGCAATCAGATAACCACCTAGGAGTAAGGCGTGGGCTCGGACCTGAGTGGAACAGCTAGGGGCCTGCTGCCCAGGCCAGTCCCTGGGTCTGCTGGCCCCGGGGGTTCGGCTCACATCCCGTCCACTTCCAGAGCCCGACCGTCCGCAGCACCGAGTGTGCCCGTGGGATGGCGCTCTCGGCCCGGCCGCCCGTGCAGCCCTAACCTGCCCAACCTGCGACTCCCCACAGGGTATCTGTGCCTGTGCATGGAGAAGGATGAGCTGCTGGGGGCCACCCTCATCCTGGCGTGGGTCCCCAATTCTCGCATCCAGAGGCAGGACGAAGAGGCCCTGCGCTACATCACCCCGGAGAGCTCCCCTGTGCGCAAGGTACCCCGCCACCGACGCCGGCGCATCCCGAGCTCGGGGGCCCCCCACCAACCCTCCCCCACGGAGCCAAGGCCCTCACTGATGCCCAAAGATGAGGACATCCTGGTGGTGGCCCAGAGCATCCAGGAGGCAGTGCACATCAGCGCTTCGCCTGAGGATGGGGAGAAGCTGGCCCTGGACGCAGGGGCAGATGGGCCACTCCCCGCCTCGCAGGCTGCCCACAGGGACTCTGGAGTCTTGTCCACGGTTGGCTCACAGGATGGGGCTGAAGAGGGCAGGGAGCCACGGCCTGAGGCCGGCGAGGAGGAGGGCTCCTGGGAGCTGTCAGCGGATGGAGTGAGCAGGGACAGCTCCTTTGACTCTGACTCCGACGCCTTCTCTTCGCCCTTCTGCCTCTCGCCCATCAGCGCTGCCCTCGCAGAGGGCAGCAGCTCTGCGCTCATGGACAGCGAAGGCAGGTGAGTTTCCTGTCTGTCCCAGGCCGAGTGGTATCTAAGTCCCCACAGGCTGGCTGAGCTCCGTCCCAGGCCGAGCAGTGCACAGGTCCCCACAGGCTGGCTGAGCTCTGGCCTAGGCCGAGTGGTGCCTAAGTCCCCACGGTGCTGGCTGAGCGCCGTCCCAGGCCGAGCAGTGCACAAGTCCCCAGGGGCTGGCTGAGCTCCATCCCAGGCCGAGCAGTGCCTAAGTCCCCACAGTATTGGCTGAGCTCCGTCCCTGGCCCAGTAGCGCACAAGTCCCCACGAGGCTGGCTGAGCTCTGTCCCAGGCCGAGCAGTGCACAAGTCCCCACGGTGCTGGCTGAGCTCCATCCCAGGCGAGCAGTGCACAAGTTCCCAGGAGGCTGGTTGAGCTCCATCCCAGGCCGAGCAGTGCACAAGTTCCCACAGTATTGGCTGAGCTCCATCCCAGGCTGAGCAGTGCCTAAGTGCTGGCTGAGCTCCGTCCCAGACCGAGCAGTGCACAAGTCCCCACGGTGCTGGCTGAGCTCCGTCCCCGGCCTAGCAGTGCACAAGTCCCCACAATGCTGGCTGAGCGCCGTCCCTGGCTGAGCAGTGCACAAGTCCCCACTGTATTGGCTGAGCTCCGTCCCAGGCCGAGCAGTGCACAGACTGAGCAGTGCACAAGTCCCCACGAGGCTGGCTGAGCGCCACAGCCTACCCGCCCGTCTGCAGGCCTTGGGGTTGTTGCAGGTGCCCTTCCCCAAGGAGAGGGCACAGGCCTGGGGACCCGTCACTTGCTGCCTGGCCATTTGTGAAGGATGTGCAGTGGGTCCTGCCAAGTCTGACTGGCCCCTGACCAAGCCAGTCCCCCAGGAGTCCTGGGCCTTTCTGTTCTTGTCACAGGAGGGGCAGGCGAGTGCTGGTTCTCTCTCAGTCCCCAGGCAAGTGTCCGAGAGGCTCTTGTGGCGTCATGTGGCTCACAGCGCTGGCCTGAGGCCAGTTTGGCTGCATTGCTTGGTCCCCAGCCAGGCTCTGCGCTCAGCTCTGCTGCTCTCCAGGCATGTGACCTGGCCAGCTGGGACTCCTCGCCTCTGCCAGCCGTGGAGGCCAGAAGGCAGCCCCAGGGGGCATGTGGAGGCTCCAGTCTCACTCCAGAGCCGCTGTGTACAGGAGAGCTGGATGCCTGGGTTCAGGGGCAGGGGGACTTGCTGGCCCAGGCTGCACCTGCAGGACTGGGAAGGGCAGGAGCTGGACCTTACCCTGCAGTGGGCTCCTAGGCCTTGAAGCCCAGGAGTCCTGATGCGGGAGGGTTGCCCAGCATCTGCAGGGCCTCAAGGTGGCCCACCCCAGGCTCACCCAGTGTGGCCGCACCAGCCAGAGCACCTGGAGGAGGGCCAGGGTGGGCAGGGCAGGTCCCACCCCCTCCTGTGCTCTGGATGTGGTCCTTGCGCTCATGGCACAGGGACATGATGGTGGTGATAGCAGCTGGTGGTGGGAGCTGACGTCGGCCTGTCAGCACGTCATCCATCACTCAGCTCGCGTCCCCCGCCAGGCGGGCTCTGGACATCAGGCCGAGCGTTGCCGGGCCCCAAGCTCCGTGTGCTGCGGATCGTAGCACACACCTAGTTGAAAGCACGTATTTTTATGCTTTCAACTATGCCCCGCTCAGTGAGGTCACCAGGCTCTCTGGGGTGTCCCAATATTATCCCCGTTGTGTGGGAGGGGGAGGGAACCTCGAGGGTCAGGGACTTGCTGGAGGGCTCTGGCCATTACATAAGCCACAGGTTTGAGCCCAGCTAGTTCTTCACCAGGGATGGACCCACGGGAGCCGGGGAGAAAAGGGACTTGGAACCTTTGTGGGCTCAGCAGGAAGTCAACTCAGATGGAGACCCTCCTGGTTTTATCCCCTCTTCAGAGTCCACTGACGATGTCTGTCTCAGGTACTTGAGAGCACAGATGAAAGGTACCACTTGGCCATAAGAAGGACTGTGTCCCCACTGAGGTCTGTTGAGTCCTGTGGTGTCCTGGGCTGGGGACCAGCTGGGCATAAACCTCTAGCCTAGCTGCATCCACTGCCAGGCCAATCAGAGCACCCCCTGGTGGTGCCACGCTGGCAGTGCAGCGCAGTGTCTGGATTTCCTGCACCCCAGGGCTCAGGCCGAGTGAAAGGTTCCTCACCTGCTTTATCCCTCACTGTGCCCCACAGGGGTGGCAGGCTGGTCCGCGGTCTCAGGGCTGAGGATGTAATTCTGAGCTGTCTGTCTGTCTGCTGTCTTTCCAGCAGCCTCACCTTGCTAGGAGTACACGTTTGGGAATTAGGAAGTTGTGTGCAGGGTGTCTGGCACCTGGTTGGCCTGAACCTGAGAAGGTCCCTTCTCTTCCCTCTCGGTTTACCTGTTGTAAGGTGATCACGGCCATATCCATCTTAGGGGGTTTTGTGAGAAAGCACCCCCGGCTCCCCTTTCCATCCTCTGCAGCGTGGTTCTCAGGGGTCGCCCAGGGGCTTCCACACAGACCCAATGCCCAGGCATCTCCAGGTGCCTCCAGAGCAGCGATGCTCACTGGGGCTGCTTCTGTCCCCAGGGGACGCGTGACCCCATCAGATGCTTTCTTACAGCCGAGGATGGGGGATGTTGGCACCCAGTGGGTGGAGGGGGCTGCCGCAGGCTCACTCTGGGTGCTTAGCTGCCTCCCTCCCAGCCATACCCAGCACCCCTTCCAGCCATACCCAGCACCCCAGACCTTGTCATGGGTCCCCTTTACCCAGGCTTCCACCTCCTCCCCTCTCCTGACCCCAACCTGTGCATAAAAATCAGCTGGCTCCAAGAAAGCTTTTGCCTCTGGATTTTGGGGGGACCGCCATCCCTCCAAAGGGGCTGAGGAGAGCCCTCTTGGGCCAGAGCCTGTCGGGAGGTCAGTGGTTCACTAGGAACTTGGGCATGTCTGCTCTAAGCCTCGCTTTACCTGCTGTTGTACAATTTTGTGCGTTTGACACTCAGTTGCCTCCTAAGTCCGAAATGTGGCCCAGAACCCCTTCTTGCAAGGTCAGTGAGCGTGAAGGTCAAGTGCTAGGCTGGGGTATGTGGTCAGCAAGCCTGGCCTAGGAACCGGAGCCTGGTGCTGGGGAGTGGTCACCTCCTCCCCTCCCCTGCTCATCGCGAAGGTGACGGGAGCACTTCTTGGCCTCTGGGCTGCAGTCTCAGTGTGCTTGTCCCTTGGGCTTCTCCACCTGAGCCCCTGACAGGTGCGCTTTCCCCTCATCCTGTACGGTGCAGTTTGGCTGAGGCTCACTGGACACCATGTGTTAGTCCATTTTCTTATGACAGCAAAGTACCTGAGGCTGGATATTTATAAAGAGGTTCGTTCAGCCACCAGTTTTGGAGGCTGAAAGTCCCCATCAAATTGTCCTCTGGTGAGGGCCCCCTGGGCTGCGGCCCATCATGGCAGAGGGCATTGTAGGGGGAGTGTGTGCTGGACAGCGAGGTCACAGAGCAAAAGGGAAAGTCAGGGTGCGGAGAGGGGCCAGGCACGCTCTTTTACAATAACCCTCTTGAGAGAAATAACCAGAGTCCTCAGAGCCCATTCCTTTGAGGCACACCGCCAATGACCTGACCACCTTCCATCAGGCCCCAGCTCTTAAAGGTCCCCCCACCTCAACACCACCCCACGGGGGACCAGGCTTCCAGCACAGGAGCTCCTGGGGGACACTCCAGCCTTATCCAAGCCACAGCATGGTTAAGGGCAGCTCTGGAGTCCAGCCCAGTCCCCACCCTGCCTCCCATCGGGGCTGGTGTGGAACGAGCCTGCCTTGAGTCAGAAGTCCCACGTGGCCCTACCCCAATCCTGTTCTGCGTGACAGGCTGCAAAACAATAAATAAAGAAGCAGATGTGGGTCCGGAGAAGGGCGGGCCCTGGAGTCGGCCTTTCCCGGCCTTTCCCTGCCCCTCTGCAGCTTGTGTCCAGTGTACTCTCCTGGTCCCCGGGAAGCAAAGATGGTGCTCCTTGCCCCTTCTCCATCCCCTGCGGCTCCTGGCACATGATGGTGCAGTAGGAAGTCCTCCTTGAATGGTCCCTGGTGCCAGACGACTAGAACAGACATCCCCCCCTTGGGCTGCACATGAGCGTCCTGGGGCAGCCTTTCCAAGTCCTGCTGCCCAGGCCACACCCAGACCAGTGAAGCCAGCCTCGCTGGGGGCGGGGTTACATCCCCATGGACTCTGAGCTCCCCAAGGGTTTCTGAGTGCCACTGTGAGAGGGACCAAAGGGAGAGGCGGGTCCTGGTGTGCCCAGCAGGGAGGGTCAGGGCTGAGATCCAGCGGGCCGGATGCCCAGCAGGGGGCGTGGCTCTGAGGCCTTGCAGTGCACACACAGCTGCTCCTTGGTCCAGGTCCCTCCAGACCTGGGAACGCAGCGCCCCAGGAGGGCAGGGCAGGTAGGCTGGCTCACGGGACCCCTCTAGTGGTAAAACTGAAGAACTACACATACAGGCTGAGTAGCTGGCTGCGGTGGGCCCAGAGGAACAGCTCTGGGGATCCCAGAGTCCCCCAAACATTTTATTACTTGGTAGGTAGTTCACAGAAGGTCTGAGTGTCTCCTGGGCTCTCCATATCTGTGGGCTACCTTGAGTGCGGCTGGTGGGGGTCTGGTTCCCAGAAGGCAGGGTCTCCCACCCAGCCATGGTCTTCTTCCACCCCCCGCCCAGTGACACCTGGAAGTCCGTGACCATGCCAGCCTTCAAGGCGTGCCTGGGGAAGGGTCACCTCCATTCCTTGCATGGACCCCCGCCCCCCTGAGATGCTGCGCTTTCACCAGCAGGATCAGATCTGGCTCTGTCCCCACCTTCCAAAGTGATCTGGGCTGATGGGGAGGGGGACACCCTGTCTTTCATTTTGCCCTGAGAGGGACCCGCTCCAGTCTCAAGACCCAGCTGGGTGAGGGTGCGATGAGGCAGGCCCCGGCGTGGCCTGGTCGTTGGGCCCGGCCTTGGGGATGTGCTGGGTGCTCTGGAAGCGTGATTGA